GGAATTCAAAGGGAAATCAAGGTACACACAGGTCACGGTGTTCCGTTCCCAGAGTTTGCCCCATGTGCAGTTCATTTATTTGTCTGTATTTCATCCAGTGAGATAGAACTTTTGAGCACGGAGAGGAGGAGTGGCGGCTGAGTGGCGGCTGAGGTCGTATGACCAACTCACAACAGGTACGTTTTTTATACTTAAAGTATTGAAGTACAGTACATCTATATGTCTGTTTTTTTGTTTTGTTTTTTTAATTAGACGGAACTGTGGAGGGGAGGAGTGGAAGAGGAGGCTTATATCCAGGGACAGAAATGGAAGGCTGTTTGGCTGGTGGCCTTAGCCACTGCCAAACGTGTCAGAGATATTCATGCTTTATCGGTGCGTTTGTCTTGTATGCGATTCAGCACTGATAATTTCAGAGTGACCATTTGTGATACATTTGTGTTTGTGTCATAGGGACAAAAATGGGAGACTTATCAAAGTGAAGAAGTTCATGTCAAAAGAAAACAGGGAAAACATGGATTGGGAAAAGAAGGCTCTCCATGTTGGGCATCAAGAGTAAAACATCCACTTAGTGTCAAACAAGAGAGAAGAGAGAAGGGGAAGAAAACCATGAAAGATAGATTTGTTTCATTAGATTTAGAATTTTAAAAGCTGGTGAATTTCTCACTTTTTTAACCTTGAAAAAACATGAATTATTTCTATTCTGAAGTTGCTGAATTTTGCAGTTAACATTTTCAATGTGCATAAAAAATTCAAAATAAAAACCTATTAATCACATATTTTCAAGCCCTCAGTCTAAAGTCAGAGTATAAAATGTGCTGTGAAAAAAATAAACGTGTGCAATTTCCTACTGGGCTTTCTCTTCTGCAGGCATGATTTGCAGTGAAGAAATTAGTTTGATAAGGCTAATATTGGCAAACAAACATTTCCTGTTTGTTACTTGAACTAATTCAGGATTGATATGCCTTGGTATTTTAGCAAATCTTTTGCACTGCAAATGTTACGCTCTGAATCTAGACAGCTGAATTTGAGAACTGTACATTTAAAACATAAATATTGATTAAAAATAGACCATATTGAAAATGTTGAAAATTCAGCCACTGAAATTCAGAATGAAAGCAATTCCAACATCTCTTTTTCAGGGTTAACAAATTCACCAGCATTAAAATTAGGATAAATATGAAACAAATTGTTTTCCATCAAAAACATATAGGTAACTTACTACAATTCAAAATAAAGGATTCTTAGTAAGCTATGTTTACCAAGTGTTGGTCAGTGACTCATGTTTACTAAACTGTCCACTCTGCACAGAGAGATGTGTTATTATTTAACCTAATCCACTTGCAGCCATAGAGTTAGTGCCATATGGATCAATCCATTATATATAACACCTACATACATAAACTTTCTCATCTTGTACTTTTTTTGATAAAAAAGGATTTTTTTTCTCTTTACTATTAATTCCAAGTCTGATTTATTAAAGTTTTAACTAGAAAAAATACTTAATAAATATAATGTTACAACAAAATGAATCAAGAAATTTAAACCTGACTCCATCTATTTTTTTCCCATTTTTTATGTTCCAAAAATTGTCAGTTTTGGCTGTTTTACACATAAATAGCTTTTTTTTTTTTTAAATTATAGTTCTACGAAAACAGGACATGATTAAATTCTTGCAATACATTTTTCTTTCACTCATGTGAGTAAGTTTCAAATTGATATCTCTAAATGTATTATGTTTTCATGTTCACAAACAGTGTCTCGGCTTAAGGGAAATTGTTAACCTTCTCACATGGCATGCCATATTTCACTCAATTTGTGTTTTTAAATGTATACTTAAGCCATTATTATTAATTTATTTTCACCTGATAAAACTGATTTCCCCATTGCTAAATAGTATTTCCACATCCCTACCTTTTTATTTGTCACCTCACCACTGGGACGGTGGCCAACTGATGAAACACTTGAGACCAAATTCCAAAGAATCAACACCATTTTCCTGAAGCATAAATTTAAAGCACACTTTTAAATGCCACGTATATAAAACAAAAGGTAAAATGTATTCATATCTGTCTCACATTTGGCTGTGCACCGGCTGTGGTCTTCTTCTTCCCTGGGCTAGGACCTTGAGAAGATGGGATTTTAGACAGAGGCTTGGACGCTGAGCCAGTCTTTCTACAGAAAAGCAGTAAAAGAAAAATATATTACTCATGTTACAATCGGGTCAATGAAGGTGAATCGAGAGAGGTTAGAGGTTCTTAATAGTATAATAGTAGGAATATACCTTTTAACCCAGCAGCAGCAGGCTTTCCACATCTGTTTTCACCTTTTGACAAAATATAAATACATGTATTTAATACTGACCAAATAAATAGCATTTGCTCTCACCAACACTCTTATTCATACAACTACATAGTTTAACACTGGAGGCAAGTATTTTGCCCATAAGACATAAAAAGTGTATACACTGGTCTAATGGAGGATCGTATGGTGTGAGTTTGTATATGTTACAGACAAAAATAATACATTTTTTATTTAAAGTAGGAAATAAATATTTTATTTTCTACTTTGCCTAAGCTAGAATGCCTGATTATCAACTTTTCCTGCAACATATACATATTTTAGATCCCACAACAAACACACACATTTCAAACCTAAATTTCCTCAGACTAGGATATTAACTTCACTTATTTAGGTACTAACATTCAAAAAAGATTCCTCACACACCATATGTACCAGTTTCTGTGGCCTTCCTGATGAGCTTGGGGTACTTCTGATACTTGTCATAGTGGTAACTCTTGTACTCCTTCAGCACCATCTCCAAGTCGATGTTGCCACAACCTCCTCAGGCCAAGGTTTGTCTCCTAGTCCAGTGCCAGTGCGATCTCCATGTACCTGGTCATACAGGACACACATATATCAGACAAAATGATGTCCATGATGTTTTAGTTGTTTGTTTTTTATTGGTTCTTGACTAAATGAGCCATACCAATCTAATCTAATAAACATGACCTGTGTCCCCAGATAACAGGTAATCATAATGTCTTGCACTTTTAATGCCCTTTAAAGGCTTGTTGAATGCTCTCGTAGAGGTACACTGTCATCATTATTCATTCATTCCAAACTGGTGGTGTTAAGTTGCTATTGTAGCCAATGGGGCAGACTGACAGAAGCAAGGCTGACAATCTGTGCCATCAGCCCCTCCAACAAATAACAAAACAAACTACTAAAGCACTGCTCCACTATCACCCCCAATTAATGCTGAAATCAACAGCTGGTAACATTTTCAGTGCCAATTTATTCTTAATTCCAAAAACATTGAGCATGATGGCCAAGTTTTTTAAATTATAATTTGATGTTTTAGTTCTCAAGGCGATTGTCCAGTCAGAAAGCAGAATGAGCATGACATGAGTGTCTTATTTGGGTTGCCTAAAACGCCTCTCTCTGATCTGAATAGTCACTACCTAAACCCCAGCGTCTGCAATCATCATGACTCAATGCTAGTGCAGCCTCTGCTGCTCAGTGAGGGATTCTGGAGGTTCTGAGCTTTTCACCTGGGGCATGGTCTGTCCATATACTGAAAATGAGAAAAACGTGTACGTGTACTCTATATGCAGATTAAGGCTCTGGCAACTCAGGCTCAGTTACATTTTTAAATGAAGTAAGAGAGTAGGATACATGCTGTTTTTGTAATTTAAGCATAATTCCAGCCTTATATTAAGTGTTACTCTCCTGTCTATAACAGCAATAAAAACTTCAGGATCCAGGTGGATGTAAACTTTGTTCCAGCCCTGTCCCATGAGGTGATGCTAGAAGACGACTAGAAGACCCTTCCTCTTAATGTCCGTCCTCTCATCCTGCTTTTGCAAACAAATGTCAAAATACATGTTCATTGCTGACATTTATAGAATAGTACTTTCTACTTTTTGGATACTCAAAGCAGTTTACATCAAGAAACCCGTTCACTGACACATTCAAGGTGGGTTGAGTGTATAACAGAATACAATGGCAGCAGGGATTGACCGGCCATGTAAAGGGTCAGTGGAGCTACAAGTTAGTCAAAGTTTATGCAAGTAAAACATAATTGGAGTTTGGGTTTAAAGAAGTTCAAACAAAAGAAAAAAGGTTGCATCCTTAAGTGCTCAATAAACCATTTGGCCCATACCTGATTGGGCCAAAAATAATCCAGAGTTGTTCTGAACATAACTTAGGTAAGGCTGGTTCAACCTTTCACAAGAATCAGCAGAAACAAACAAACAAACAAACAAAAAGGCTAACTAGCTCGGTACTCACAGCTTCCCTGGCCTGATGCTACTTTCATCGACTGGTAATTTAAAAGTGTTTTTTACCCCTGATGTTTCTGGAGAAGGCACCTGTCACATGCAGTCAACAATTTATTGATTTTAGATATTCATTTTATTCACAAATACCATTCTTTTTTTTTTCCCTTTTTAATAAAAAAATAACTAAGAATGACTTGAAACTTTTTGCTAGAGGCTGGTTTTCTTATGCTCTTTTAGAATGATTATAATTTATTCCTTTAAATTAGAGCTTTATAATTGCCCCTTTTATATGTAAATATAAAAGGGGCAATAAATCATATAAATCACTATTGTGTTTTTTATGCATTTATTTTAATGTGAACTGTACTTTTTATAAAAAGGTGCCGTTTTTGTTGGTATCTGAAAATGTGAGAAAAAAAAACTGTCGCAAGCAGCCGCTAAACTCACATGTAATACTGTTTAAGGCCACTAGGCGGGGGTGAAGCTTCATAAACGCAGAGAGTGAAGCTAAAATATCGGAACTAAATACATAAATAAATAAATAAATATTTATTTATTTGTCATAAGGACAGGGACATATTATACATATTTAAATATTTATTTATTTAAACAACACATTGCAGTAAATCCCTCAAATCAGTTAACAAGGTTAGATTACCATTAATACAAAAGAAATCTTAAGTTATGGAGGTGGCTGTTTGAAATAAAAAGAAAATAAAAGATAGTTATTTCAAAACATTTATTACATCTGATGACAAAACATTAAAATACAGTCCTTGTTTAGCAGTCACACCCAGAGAACTGCTTATATATATATATATTATTTGGTACAAACATAGCATGACATTATTACCCATTTCATGATCTACAAAGACCTCTGATATGTTTCACTGTTACAAAATCAAGATAAAATCACAGATGAGGCAGGTTCAGTAGTAATGTTGAAAAAAATTAAGACATTTAAAAACTATGTAGTGTTGACAACTAGGCTGGTGGTAGAGCCCTCTTTGGGGTTAGTGCAAATTATATTAAGTATATTTGACACTGAATACTACAATTTCTTTCTAACTTCCCTGTCTTTTTGTTTTAATAATAAATAGTTGGTAACTTGTATTGTTCGTGTAGTTTTTGGTTCAAGATACACTACATATGACGATGCAAGGAAAATGAAGTCTAGTTGCTGTAGGAGTGAGAAAGTTGATACAATGGCAAATAAACATTCTTGCAAAAAAGAATCAAGGGGGAAAAATTAAAATCCACAATCAAATTAAGTTGTGTCAGCTATAAAAATAATTTAAGTTTCTATCACTATCAAACAGATTTTAAATTAGGCAGTTTGACAGCTTTTATGGGAATGCGTGTTAATAAAAAACATTTCAGAAAAATGGGTGCAAAATATAACTCTTCTGCTCGTCTCCATGGAGATGTTACTTCGCCTGGAATGTTCCACAGTATGACATTAAACTCATTTATCACCTCCTGGCCACATTACAGATCAGATCTATTATTTGCATGATTTCCCAAGGTATTTGTGAACAATAAAAATACATAAAACTTAATTAATTTAAGGCCATACTCTCTGTGGAACATTTCGTTCAAAGCACTAAAACCTCCATGGAGACAAGCAGATGGAGGATCCCCACACCGAAAAAGTTACATAGTGCACCTTTAAGACCAGGAAACTCAATCTATTGCACTGACTTTTGATTGTCTACAGTTGTATGTAAATCGTTGTACATGGACTAGCTTTCCCAATAGGAGAAAGTCATTCCCGATGCGCTGGTTTCTTTGTACCTCAGAATACTCCGGCCTCCGTGAGCATAGTGGCCGTCTCAAGCATGAGCGCTTTCACATAGACCCGTACAGTGTAGAACATGGTGACAAAGTCCTGTGTGCTGAACAGAGTGTCTGCCAGAGCGAAGCCCAGTGTGGAGGGGATGAAGCCACGGCCATACTCCACCATCCACGTGCCTGCGCTCCACTGCACAGAGGTGGCCTCTCCCACAGGGTGCACTATAAAGTCACCTGGGCACACAAGTGCATGAATTTATATCTTCAAAAGGTTATTTGTTCAAAGCGGTTCTGAACACTGAATTACAAAAACATAACCTGAATCTTCAAAGCTATATTTACAGTCTTCAATCTGTCACACTCTGTGTGTTCTCTACAACAGAGTTTCTGTGGGGTGATACAATCTTCAGGATATAGTTATAAAAATACACTTTAATTCACTACAAGTTTGCCACATCCAGAGTTGGATCAAGTTTAAATAAAACTACACACAGTACAATAGCTGAAGCCGTTGTGAGTGTGTGTGTTGATCAAGTCCCTGAAATGAATATGATTCATTTTTGATATTGACCTTTGTGCCAGTTTTTGTTTCATGATGGTAGGCCCAGTAATTACAGAAACATAAACCAGTTCAATAAAACTGCAGGCTAGCAACTGAATATCTCAGCACTATAGGCATTCAGGAATGCTGACGTCACGTGAATGCAACCTATTGATCCATTGCTTTCAATTACAGCATAACACAACCACTTACCTGGGTAGTAGACTTCACTCTTGGTGGTTCCCTCCTTCCACTGTCTGAATGTTCCAGAGATCACTGTGTCAGAGATCTCTGCCCAGTAACGCCCTAGAAAATCACACACAAAAGCTTGAAGTCATCTGTAAAATGAGGAAACAATGCCACTGCCACCTCTATATTGTCCCATACCCGAGTGTCCCCCTGTGTCCACTGCTGTGCCGAACAGCAGCAGGTACTCTGTGAGGGAGGCGTGCAGCAGACACATGGACCCCATCCAGCCACCCGCGTTCACAAACACCCACTGTAAGTCCTCGTCAGGCAGGATGTGGCCTGGGTATCTGCAATACACATAGATGATGACCTGATGATGATTTTCAAGAACTGATTGTTATAGAGCAGTATAGACACCATAAAGTATGCATTGTACAGATACTTATAACCAATTTGCACAACCCCAATTCAGTTCTCTAGGTATTAGAGAAAAAGGTCATGTTTATTGTGTGAAAAAGTTCATTTTAACATTTGAAACAATTAGGCCAAGATTTATGTGGAAAGAATCAATACATCAAATGTCCCCACAAACGGAACTTATATTCTCACTCAACTTTCAAGCAATTTTGAAAATGTAAATGTAGTGTGGCAAGTGTAAACAGGACCAGGAACAGGACAGGAGTGTCAATATGACAAAGAACTGTACAAACAAGCAACCCAATAACTTACTGCTTGGTACAATGGAGATTACATCTTAATAATAATTGGATTACTCAAAGGTGTGGATAAAGCAAAACACAACTCCAGGTATGTTTTTGAGGAGCAAACTAAAAGTCTTAAAGCTCACAATTTTGAGTAAGTAATAGAACCTTGAATTGGTTCTTTTTGCAGCATTTACATATGCCTTTATACACATTATATTTGGAATTTAATGTTCATTTTAAATGTCTCCAAAACAGCAAAAAACTAAATATAATAATAATTCAGTATATTGTATCCACCTCGAGCATCCAATGAAAACAAAAGTCAGTACAGTCAAATCCTTGTGGAGATGACCTTTGGCACGCTTTACTTATTAGAACCCTCATAATACCTCACCACTGACTTTTGAGTGACCATTTATTCTTAAGTGATGAGTAAATGACGCGTTTAAAAACAATGCAACTAACTTCACACTTCTGAATGAATGATCAGTAAGTTAAAGTACCTTTTTCTTAGCTCCACCACCACTTTGGAGAAGGCCTGCTCATGATCCTGACCTAAAAACACACGCATGGACACGTGGATTAAGTGCAACAAGCCATTAACAGCAGATTTATTCAAAAACGCTTATTAAAAATGTCAATACTGGTTTCAAAGTTTCATGCTCCACTGCAGTGCTCACCTGCGTACTGCTTGGCTAATTTGGCAATGTCTTCCTTGTTAAAAACGTGCTCCTTGGTCGCCAGCCAGTACTGTATTAGAAGCACGGATACTGCTAGCACCGAGAGGAGAACCAGCAGCTTTAGGAGCAGTCTGAGCACGGACATGATGCAAACCAGGCGCACACACGGTACAGTGAAAGAAAAGAGGCAGCTGCATGTGGACACGGGCAATCTGCAGCGCTATCACCACGCCACCAGCCCGAAGCTCCACTGACAGAGGCTATGCGGTCACGTGAGGGCGGGATAACGCGAATCAGCCAATCACAAGACGAAAAATCGATAAAGAGGCGGGTCTTAAGAGGGGTTGCCAGAGTACGGAACAAATGTAAGTTTTTGGATATTTGTTTTAAGGGATTTTAAATGAAATACATAATAAGCAAAGCGTATACCAATTGTTATCTTAATATAATGCATATTAACGTTGAAATCCAGAAAATTCAGTTTAGTAATTGCAATTTACAATCTTTTCTAATTTTGTTTAGGATTGCGGATTTATCCATTCAGGCATCCGTGTTTATCCGTCCAAAACAGGAAGTTACTGCAGAAATGGCATGAGAAGTGCAGTTGTCAAGTTCAAATTGGATTAAAATACAAGTTAGGTAGTGCAGCAGGAGTATTTTGTTTTCAATCCTGCATATTTTTAAAGGAGGTAACACTATGAGCAATCTAGAGGAGTTTGACCCTAAAGGTAAGGACTGTTATTGTTAAAATTATGTGAAAACTTAAGGCTAGGACTTTAATGTGAGCAATAAAGCAGTTTTGATGCTGTTGATGTTCTCCACCATACGTAAACTGAAGTATAGAGTACACATTAGGTACTTTTGTTTATATTATTGTTAATCACAATATAAAATTTTCAATCATTGTACCATATCAATTCAATTTAAGACTCTCCAGATGTCCACTTACTTAACACACTTCCTAACTTGTTAATTCATTGGATTTGTTGCAATACAGCACAACTGTTCAATGTGTCTTTTATTATAATTTTATATTTATAAATTTGGCCCTCCATTTTCTTTTCTGGCAAACATTAAATTGCATATGACATGACTACTCATTCACTAGTTAGGATAAGATTAAGATTTAACAAAAATTCTTGCCTAGTTTTCCCTAATATTGACAAATTCCTAACTTTATAATTTCCTGGCTGGACATGAACAGTATGAAATTTACTGGCACAACATTTCAGACTATAAGTCCATCAGAGTGCAATGTAGACATTGCAATGTAGACATTGCACTGAACATTGCACTCTGATGAAGGACTTGTAGTCTGAAACGTTGTGCCAATAAATTTCACTTTGAGAGCTTTAAAACAGTGTGCAGATTTTTAATTCTTACTGTTCATCTGATCTTGGTCCTGCACCTGCACTGATGTGTGTGCATTCTTTCTTCTTTTGGACATGGACAGTAGACTTGATAAAGGTGATAAAGCTCATCTAACAAGCTCATCTAATTTACACAATAGTTGATTAATGTAATAAAAATAAAAACAACATCTCCTTTTGGATAAATTGTTCTGGAATTTTAATTGGAATTTTCCATTTTAATGATATGAAAAGTATTCGTATTTTTGTACTTTTGTCAACATTTTTTCCCCGACAACTCCCTCTGATATTAGACTATGATAAATATTTACCATAGATACTATCCCACCAAACCAAGTCAGAATTAGAAAAACTAATTCTAAAACTAATAATTTTTGCTCACCCCTAGAAAAAAAGTGGCAAGACAAGACAAGACAAGTTTATTTGTATAGCACAATTTGTACATAAAGTAATTCAAAGTGCTTTGCAGAATAAGAAATACATTAAAATAAGTAGTGGTTCAACAAAGAAATACTGTTGCTAAAATGTATTTGGTTCTGAAAAAACACCACTATATCACAGAGTATCATGTATCTTATCAAATGGCGATGGACCCTGTTATTCCCAGCTGTACTTCAAACTACTTAGACTGTTATTTTCTGTCTACATGTAATGCATTTGTCCCACTCCATATGAATGTCCGTACAGAGCACCAGCACCTGCGGTACAACCCCCTGAGGGACAGCTGGGTGCTAGTGTCAGCCCACCGCATGAAGAGGCCCTGGGCTGGTCAGGTGGAGAAGCCCCCCGAGGAGCACATCCCCAGATACGACCCCCACAACCCCCTGTGCCCTGGCAACACACGCGCAAACGGAGAGGTAAGCAGTGACATCTTTAGATCATATTTACAACTAGGGCTGGGGCAATATGACAAAAACTATTACATTTTTTTCCTCATATTTATCAATCAAAATTAAATTTACTTGTCTTTGGTTTTATTGTGAACAAATAAAAATGGGTCTCAACATAAATTTTCTAAACAATAAAGGTGTTTAATAGCTGTCAGTTAACACCAAAAATAGTTAGTTTCTTTCAAAGACGAATTCTGCTCAAAACACATGCTCTTACTGACAGATTATTGGCTGTGGATTTCTAAGTAAAAACGACCCAAGTTGATCTTTGATGATTTCAAAAAACAGAATCTTGATTTAAATTAAAATTTGATTAGCTTAGCTTGGTTAGCGCATTTGCCTGCTTTAATTATTACTTTTATTATCTAATCTTCAACTTTTCTGTGTCCAGGTGAATCCAGACTATGACAGCACTTTTGTTTTTCCAAATGATTTTCCAGCTCTTCAGCCTGATGCGCCAAGTCCTGGTGAGGCAGGCTTTTACTGTGTACAAATAGCAAAAGTGCTGTAAAAAAAGAGTCACGATAAATAAATTCTCATTTCTTATGTTTCAGGAACTGATCAACATCCTCTGTTCCAGTCTCGATCTGCTCGGGGTGTGTGGTAAGAATATGTTTTGGTTTAGAAGAACATGCTTACTGTATAATACAACATTTTAGGCCTTATAGACAATACCTTCTTTGACAGTACTATATTTGCAGGCATCCAAAATTACTAAGATAAAAGTTCATTACACTTCCTGACCAGAAGATGGAGATCTTGCTCCACCAATGGGTTGTAGATACTATACTAAGCCTTTCTGAGCGTTCTAAAATGCATTAAAGAACACAACTTGCAATTTGCATGTAAATGTAAAATATAACTAAACCATAATACTTACAAAAATTCCCAGCACATATCTTCCAAGTAATCTTCCAGGTAACACAAAATGAACATTGTTACCATAGCAATTATTGATTCAAAACAAAATATTTTATCTTTTAAATCATTTAAAGTACTCAAAATGGCTCCTTTAGACAGAAAACTTTTCATATGTACATGTTTTAAACCACAAACTATAACAATATTTCAAATAATTATTGTTACGTAAACTAGCTTTTCACCACTGCACTATGTATTTCTGTTGTTAAAACACAAAACTTTCTCTAAATCTCTCTAAACTGCCACTGCCTTCACCTGTTCCCCCTCATCCACTTGTACATATAAATGTGCTTGTGACTTGTACTTAAGTTCAAAGGCACTCTCCAACAGTATGGTATTGTGGGAATATTAGCACAACTCTTCCTGTCAGCACTGTTACACAGTGAATGACAAATAGATCAAATCCAAACACTGAGCTATTGAAAACAACAGTGTATGCAAAGATATAGGCCTGTCAATTAACTCATCCACCAATGTTATAATAATACTGACTCACAAACCAATTATTTTGTTTTATTAAAGGTGCTGTACCTGATTTACACAACATGAAAAACAGAATTAGGACATTTTAAAGGGTTTGCAGTTATTCTTCACTTACCTGATGCATTCTGAACATCCTAATAACAACTTGCGCATCTGATTCTCTGACAATATAAAGCTTTATAATTAGATGTAGACAGTACACAGAGCTTTCTTGTTTTGACCTCAAGAGCTACTTATATATACAGTATATTAAAGCTAAAGTTTACACATAGCCAGGTATGTAAAGAAACAAATATTTCCCTCCCCTCTGATTTCCAAAATAACATCATGCAAAAGTTTTAGTTTATATCACCCGCATAAATATGCAATCGAGCGCCATCATAACTACGCAAAGCCTCTGGGTGGCACCTGTAATGGATTCAAACCTGTAGCATTTATTTCTTTTCAGTTGTAAGTATTACTCAAAAATACCTTGAAAAACGTGCATTACTGAGCGAGGTTGCCTCTCCACAGATCTGTTAAAGAAGTGGTAAAACTGCTGACCTCAGAGCCCTCATTTGTCTCTGGTCATGGATATGATCCATCAGCTATGTGTGCAAATGCAAACACATGAAAAATGTCTGCACCAGAAGAAATGCGACTGCTGCTCTCACTTAACATGCAAACGCACAACCGTAGTTTTCCAGAATCTCCACTCCGCTCAGTTTTTAAAAAGATTCGTTTTCAGAGGTGAATTTGCCATTTGTGTATAAAAGATGGGTACAAACGAAGGGAAATGTCTCAGTTTTTAAAAATACCCATGTACTTGTAAACGGAACTATAGTGTTTTCATGATACCAATAAAATACTCTACTCAATACCGATTCTGATACCATGATGGTAATAAAAAGTCAAGAGAATGCCAATTTCAACATTAAATCACAGTACTTTCTTTTATATTAGCATGCAGTCTTATATCTGTGTAATCTCTCAGTCATCCGAGTTTTAGCATGAGTTAGTATCAGATTTTTGACACTTTTGACGATCCTAATCTATACTGGGAAAAGACAAATTTTGCTCAAATATTAGAGAAAAAAAATCCAGTACAGGCCGTTTAATTCATGGGATATTTGTGTTTGTTTACAGTATATTGTTAGGCTACACGGTCTGGGGGGACATTTTGGTGAGGAGTGCGTGCTGTCTCTTGCCTGCAGTGACATTCATGCAGCCAATTAGAGGACAAACAAAAGGGAAGTGGGATTTTTGGGCAGACTCTCCGGAGATTTGAGCTGAGAAATTCGAAATGACGAGCTGTTGCCGCTGTTGCTTGGCCCTTTTCTGTCTGCTATCAGGAACAATGGTTGGAAACAATTGTAGATTTCATTTCCAGAATAGCTTGGTGGAAATAGGATTCATGTTGAGTGAAGGCAGCTAGGTACTTTTTTAACCTCTCTACCATGTTATAACCTTGTTCTCTAATCAAAAACGTGCCTGAAGAGGTTTTAGATGCCATGATTCATGTTTCACTAATTTAGCAATCTGTCAAGAAGCCTATTCGAACCCTCCTTATGGTTAGTTCTAAGATTCTACCCAATGCTTAGCCCAAAAGTCTACATCACCCATGCTCCCATACGACAGTTCACCATAAATATCCAAAAGCATGATACAAAACTGTACACAACTTGATGATTGTGTTGTGATAAGGCTCTGAAGGGGGAGTGACTTAATGTGGAGAGCAAAGGGAGGGGAGAGGAGAGACAGCTTCAAAATGAAAAGTGAAAGTTATAAAATGCGCTGTTTTGGCAAATATAGCATTTTCAGAACTATAAAAGGTAACATGATGATCTAAATATGTTATGTGTTTGTAGTTAATAACCCATAGAAGTAAAATACCTCATCTTTAAAGTCAGACAGGTATACAATTTAAGTATTTTTGAATACAAGATTGTAGGTCCAAGGTATACTTAAAACAAGACATCTTCATTCAAAGCTACAACAGATTTTAACAAGCAAGTAATACGTTATAGGCACCTCATAAATTTCAATTAGCAACAAAAATACATTTAATAATATGAGGTGTGAATCCAGCTTTAATAGCAGGAGTGTACATGGTTTGCATTGTAATCCACATGCATTCTTATTTGATATGTGCCCACCCACTCCAGAAATCATGGTGTCTGACTAAAACAAACTCTTACTGTGGGTGTTATTTGTGGTAGTTGCACATACACACATGCAGGCTTACAAAAGGACTCCCCATACGGCAATGTTTGGACAGTGTTCGCTGTTTTTGGAATTATAGGGTTGTCAAAAGTATTGATACCAAAAGTTAGTTATGATTTTGAAAAAAAATCAAACAAACTCAAACAGACAAAGACCACATATAATAAAAAACAAACAAACTTCAAATTACAGTTTATTGTCTGAAATGGTTTTCATCATTATTGCAGTTTTGAAATCGGTATTGAGTATTTTCCTGAGTGCCAAAATTGAGTTTGAAATTATAGAATAGTGACAGTACTATTTGGAAAACTATATTAACAAAAAAGCTGCTTATTGCTACATAATTTGGTCTGGGAACAAAACATAGGCCCTTCTTGAAGTTCAAGTCCTGTTTGTTTGAATAGTTTGAATTATGAACTTCTATGACTCATTATAGAAATGCATTTAGAATTGTTTTTTTGGGGGGGATAATTTTGCTTTATGGTTTAGTTTCAATATTATTATTTATTGTCTATTTTACAGCAAAATATCACAATTCAAAATGTGTTACTGTGGCCTAGCCCATTCAGATTGAGATTTAGATTTGTAATTAATCTTGCAGCTATTATATTTGGAATCTAACATTTGTGGCAAACTAAGGCCTTGAATAAAACTTATCAGTAGCACTCAACTTTTCAACACAATATCGCTCTGATAGGATGGAAATAGGGTCCACCACCTGCTTGTCTCCATGGTGATGTTACATTCTTCTCCAGTTGCTTTGTTAAGTACGACTAACATATCCCTCTTTTTCATCTTTTTCTCAGCAAGGTCATGTGTTTCCATCCGTGGTCCGACGTCACTCTCCCACTCATGAAAAAGGAAGAGGTCGTCAAGGTGATCGATAAGTGGGCAGATCTAGTACGAGAACTGGGAGCCACCTACCCTTGGGTCCAGGTAACCTTGTTTGTTATAATTGTACTCAGTAGATTTTTGCAGCAATACAATCTTCAAATCCTAGTTTACTGTGGTAATTATGGGATAGATAGAGTCATATTTTAACTATACCTATGGACAGATTCAACACTACAGCAGAGTGAGCAGTGTACTGATAAGACAGCAAGTCGATGAAGCTATTCATTTTTTCCAATGATACCTTGTAGTGACATCAAACTGGGGGTGTTCTACATACATCGCTAATGGTGAAATGTTTGGTGTTACCATAGTGACACAATGCGCACATTAGCAAACACACTGCTAAAAAAAAGTCTTATGATTGTCTGAAAACCAAAGAAAAATGGATACAAAATGGATGTTCATGGTCCTGTTCAGGCGTTTGATTGTTTGACAGCACAAATCAGCTGCAAAGAATCAATATTGTAAAATTGTAATCATATACAGATGATGAAGTTACAGTATTTTTTTATATTTTTATTTATTTTTTATTTGTTAGGCCTATTTACTTCTATAGCTTTGGAGAACAGCCAAAGTGAATAAAACATTCTAATTTCAGTGAAAAGTATTGAAACAGATTTTTACCATCTTAAAATGTGAAAAACAGAACAAATTCATTTTAAACAGTTTGCAGCGGCTCAGTGTTATTCCTTACAACTTTCAGATGCCAGACTTTTACTGTCACACTAATGCTATGCTGATTCTCTAACAAAAAGTTTTATATTTACATGCAGACAGAAGGACACAGCAAACTTATTTTGACGTCAAGAGCTTGCTTGTGCAACATATCTGTAATAAAGCAAGCCAAATTTTGCTCAAATACATGGAAAACTAAATATGGTGCAGGCCCTTTAATTGAACATGAATAGAAATAGTAACAGATCATACTAAACTATAAAGAGGAAATATAATACAGTCTCTAATTTGCCATGGGAAAGTGAAAGTAAAAAGTTCTTCAGCACCAAAGACAGCTCCACTTGTAACCCCGCTCTAACAATACCCACTTTAGAGACCTTGTTCAATTTGACCCATTTAATGAATCTTTTTGTGTGCCGTGCTGGTCCTAACTGTGAACAGGCACTTTAGCAGTCATTAAATGACCTTTGCTGGAAATACTTAGTGATTTTCAAAGTAGAAGTGCCAACACCACTCTCTAAAAGGATTGTGCTACTAAGAGGTGTGATAAAAAGCTGTGAAGAAAGACTGCCTTTAAGGAACACTGGATTCAGTTTGTAATTTTCTTTAACAAAAACAAGGCGCAAGTATAGGAAAATGTTGTCAGGCCATGCAAACTGACCTCCAGCTCCGGGAAGTAATTCTTGGAACAATTACTGAGCAGACTTGTCAAACATTTGTGCACCAGATGTACGCCTCTCGGCACCTCATTTCGTCATTTAGTTTCTTTAATGTATTCATTTATTTTTGTTTTTTGTTCTTACAATTTGGTTGGCTGCTCTTGTGGCTGACTGGCTGGCACACGGAGCAGTTTTGTGTCAGTCCTAACAATCACCACTACCGCCCATTGCTCTCTACTTACTGCAGTCTTCAATTGTATTTTCTTAATTGGTGATACAAGCAGGATTTGACAGCGTTGCGTAGTCATTTTGGTATTGGTCTATCCTTCAGAGCAGATGACTTTTTGTTTGCGGCGATGTCTGCTCCCACTGAGCATCGCAGTTTATTTAAGCAGATGTTAGCACACTCATTTTTTAATAAGCCATTTTAGATGAAAAATGTGATTCAAAATGTGGACATTATAACATCGTGATCCATGGGTGTCGTGTATTATAACTATACTGCTAAAAAAAAATTAAAGGAACATTGTGTGAACACATCAGATTTCAATGTGAAAAAAATATGCTGGATATGTATACAAATATAGGCAGGGCAATGTCTTAAGAACAAAAGAATGCTTCCTCTTTTAATGGAAACATTATTTTCAATATACAGAGGGCTTCATTTTATAGATGCCCTGAAAATCAAAGTGAAATAATGATGTGACAGGCAAGTCCATTTTGCCCAAATTTAATTTCTGTAACTCAATCTTCTGCTTCTCAATCTCTTGTGTGGCCACCATGTGCTTGTATGCATATTCAACAACCTCGTGGCATGCTCCTAATGAGACAGCAGATGGTCTCTTGTGGGTTGTCCTCTCCAGATCTGTGTAAGAGAATCACTGAGCTCCTGTAGAGTCTGAGGAGGAACTTGGCAGCATCTGATGGACCCAGGCATAATGTCCCACAGGTGTTCTGTTGGGTTTAAGTCTGGGGATCATGAGGGAATGAACTTCAGTTATCAATCCTTTCATCCTCCAGGTACTGCCTGGAGACTCTTGCAACAGAAGACCGAGCATTGTTGTGAATCAGGATGAACCCAGGACCTACTGCACCACCTTACGGTCTGACAATGGATTCAAGGATTTCATCCCAGTACCTAATGGCAGTCAAACTGTTTTCTAGCCAGTAAAGGTCTGTGCGTCCCTCCATGGATATGCCTCTCCAGACCATCATTGACCCACCACCAAACTGCTCATGCTGAACAATGTTGCAGGCAGCATAACGTTCTCCTTGTCTTCTCCAGACTCTTTCACATCTATCACACGTGCTCAGGGTGAACCTGCTCTCATCTATGAAAAGCACAAGGCACCAGTGGCGAACTTGCCAATTCTGGTGTTATCTAGCAAATGCCAATCAAGCTCCATGGTGCTGGACAGTGAAAACAGGGCCCACTGCAGGCCCTCAAGCCACCCTCTTGAAGTCTGTTTCTGATTGTTTGGGCAGAGACATTCACACTACTGGCCTGCTGGAGGTCATTCTGTAGAGCACAGACAGTGCTCAACCTGTTCCTCTTTGCACAAAGGAGCAGATATGGGTTCATCTGATGGACTGAGGATCTTCTAGAGCCCTGTCCACCTGTCCTAGAGTAACTTCTTGTCTCCTGAAATCTCCTTCATGGTTTAGGAGATTGTGTTGGGAGACACATTAAATCTCCTTGCAACAGTACGTCTGGATGTGCCATCCTGGAGAGGTTCTGACAATCTGTGTAACTTCTGTAGGATCAAGGAATGGCCTCATACTCCCAGTAGGTGATAATCATTGTAGCCAAAGTCAGTACTAGTGGAAAACTAGCTAAAAAAAGACCAAGAGGGAGAAACTAGAAATGACCTCCGTATGCAAAACTTTTTTAGGGGTTGTCTCACTGGTGCTACTCTTGTTCACCAGTTGTTCCATTAAAATAGATGGCTTCCTTGTGTTCCTAAGTCATTGCCCTGTCCATATTTGTATAGATATCCAGCATTTTTTTTCTGATGTGTTCATAGTGTTCCTTTAATTTTGAGCAGTGCATATAGTAGACTCGGGCACAGTATGTTTTCTTTAAAGCCACAGTATGTAACTGTATAGTGAAAACATACTTCAGAATACTATCTCTATGGAGAATGTTTTGTTAAGTAAGTTAGTAAATTACATATTGTACCTTTAACATAACAGTACTGTTTGGTTTAGATTTGAGGTTTGCCTTTTCCCTGTATTCATGGCGATCCCTCTTCGAGCTAGTTGCACTAACCAGCCATGTGAAAGAATTTTTACACAAATGCAACAGGCTTTCTACACTAAATGAGACAGAAGACATTTCAGAGGAAACACTTTGAGAGAATGGCACAAAAATGTTCTTGCCCCATTACTGATCATACTGGCAAAATGAATCATTTTGATTTGATTATTAATTAATTTTTTGTGTGCTTTTTTCACACTAACAAAACGCTAACAAAGTTTCTAGAATAACAATTTTGACAGATGAAAAGACATTCATGACTGTTCTTTGTTCTCAAAATCAATTTTTTACAGTAATGACTTAACAATTAGAATTGTCATAATATTCCACAAACATTTTTTTCTCTTGTTGTATGCAACACTAGACTAGAATTAAATTGTCAATATTTTGACTCATAATTCTCAATAATTTTTCCGTTTTTCTTTCAGATCTTCGAGAACAAGGGTGCCATGATGGGCTGCTCCAACCCACATCCTCACTGTCAGGTACACACTTTTTTCCATACTTTTTGAGGACATTCACATTCACTTTCTAGAGACTGATCTTAACCTTAAACATAGTCACTACTCTCCAAACCTTATTCTAAAGTTCTAAACTTTACCTATTGTAACCCATATCTGAACTTTAAAGAAACTATACGAAGTTTGTGCTCTTATAGTTTTAAAAAACTACAATCACAACTGGCATTGGCAACCTGGGTTGACAGTGCCTTAACCTGCAGATAAACTCTAGAGGACACAGACACAGAGTCTCGTGTGAGCCTCATTCTGTCTTCTGAAAAAACATGTTAAAAAAAAGGTTTAAAAGTGTTAACCACATGTCAGTGTAATAGCAAATGGGGTTTGACCGGTGTTGATGGTGACATGGACTGGGATGGGCCATGGGATATATGGCATGTCACCACTAGCACCGCTTCTGAAGATGGCGTGCAGCTAGCAGCCGAAACATGTCAACAAGGTAAATAAACTTCACTGTATTGTCTTTAAAAAAAGAAGCCAAGAAGTTAAAGTATATAAGAGGACAAAATGAACATCTTTGGTTTAAATGGGGTAGGACTAGGGGGTAGGAAATTTTCTAAACTTCAGCTTACCCCTTTTGAGCACCTACAATGATACCAACATATGTACATGTATATATATCTTTGTGTAATGTACCAAATATTGACATGTTGCTCAAACAAATACTAATGAAATAAAATGAAATGATTGGCTAATCCTCTTAAAATCCAAAATAACTAATTATAACATAAACGACTTTTCCATCCATGTCCAATGTTTTTGCAGTCAAGAATAAATCAGCATTACAGTAGTTACCAGTAAAAGCTATGTTGAACATGTCCAAAAATATATTGACATATTGCATATGTTATGTTATGTTTATGGAATTTAAAATCAGAATCTTACATACAGTTCCTTTAAACCATCTTGCTGACCTAATAATAAAGAGTTTATGTTCTGTGGAGCTGATTGTTCATCCCCACAATGTAATAAATACCCACCCACACACATACTACACTAGATATATTCAATTTTGTTATGTTTTTTTTACAAATCCACAAATGCAGAAAATCATTTATACCCCTTCCCGCCCTTTCACACCTTCTTATTCTACTCCACACAATAGCTCCAGTTTGTACGTGAAATCCAACAAAGAAATCAAAACGTGTGAGGAAGGACTTACTTATAATTTTCCAGCTCGGCAAGCCAGAACACAGAGACGGGAGGGCATCCAGGCTTCTTTGTGAATTAGCGGAGCATCAGTGTCACTTTCACACTAGGGGTGCGAATGACTGTATCGTATTATTATTCTTTGTTGTTTTTTAGGATATGCAGAATCACACCTCCTAAAGTGCTTTGGCGGTTACTTTCTTTGCTTTGTGCCAGTGCCCAGATTTGCATAATGCATTAATCATCTGTGCACTAGAGTCAGAAGGACGGTCTGTTTTAGTCCAGCAGGGGGCAGTGTGTGATCAGGAAAAGCACTGTGTTGTTTCCTGTGCATAGTCTTTGAGGAGCAACGTTAAATTAAAAGTGGTGTATGGATGGATTAATTAAATATAATGTATTTTCATCATTTCAAACCGGAATTTAAAGAAATATGCCTTAATTTACTTGTTTATTATGTTATGTATTAGTTAGCAGATTGTAAAAAGATTAGAGACCAATTTAGCCTGTTGTAATGCTAGTAATACTGATTCCATTAAATATTTACAATATTTTTATTATCATTAAATAAGTCCCAACTAGGTATTATGGGTTTAAGCATAATGTTACAGTATTTGATAGTACAGATTAGAGATTGACCGATATGGGTTTTTTCACAGTCCATACGGTACTGGTAAAGAAACCGATGGTCATTAAGCTCTGCCAATATTTTGGGGCGATATTTAGAACTATTTGGATGATTTTGATTAGATTAAAAAGCCCCTTTTTATCACAAAGCTTTAAAGAGAGTTGTGGAGTCACTTTTTGTGCAGTTATCTCTTTGTATTAAAGTGTTAATACAAAGCTCTGTGTGTATTTTTAGGCAGCAGATTGACCAAACAGCCAATCGATATATCAATCTATCTCTAGTATGGATGAATGCTGTTGTTGTGTCCTTGTGTAAGACACTTAGCCTACTTTGCCCCCAGTGTCTGTGTTTTGTGGTTTATGAGTGTTATGTGAATTGGTGAGTCTTTTTTTGATGTAAAGTGCCTAGAAGGTAGACATGCACTACATCAATGTGACAGTTTACCATTTTTACCTTTTTACCATCTCCATATATTTAGCTTGTTTTGCTCAGGACTGCCTTGCCACCTATAGTATTTAATATTGTGTAATCTATTATTTTGTTGACCAGATTACATTTTATTTACGATTCCATGTACAGACTGTTACTCAACATACTACTTAAGTATTATGCTTGCTGAATATATAGTTTTACTCTTAATTGTATGATTTATTTAATATTTAACAATATAATAAGTGTATTGCAGTATTTTGACTTATGTAAACAGTACTACAATTTTAGTACTTTTTGGATAGCTTTTTCAGTTCTGACACTGATTCCGATACTATAGCTTTAAGGATCTGCTGATACTCGAGACTGAAAACAGAATTTATGTCCTTAAAACAAAAAATTAAGTAAGACCAAACTGATCCAAATGTGCTATGTAGCTGTTATTTATCTTTTGAGTTACTACAGAACTAGCCTGGTTCATCAGCCTGTTTTACTTCGTTTCACTTCGTACAAACTGTCTGACCTCGCAGCCTTAGATTTCGTTCGCTTGATGGTAGGTGGGTACTTTTTATCATTTAACCAGTCACTGCTATTTGGTCGAGACATATGTAATGCGCCGCTAACAGGGCTAACTGGTATATTAAGCTTTTCCTAAATCCCGTAGCAAGAAGGGCAATAACGTCTTTCCCCTTCATGAAATTCACCAAACATTCTCTTTATTCCGGCTTTAAATCCTCAATCTCGGGAATCGTTGACAAAACTGAATCTATCACTCTTTGCTGATTGTCTGGTGCCCAAACTTGCACTTCTAGGGTTTTTGCGAACTGTCTATTGTATTTTGATTCCTGACCTAGTTGCTGGAGAGAAATTAAATTGAGTGGAGGCACTAGGTGGCGCCAGCCTGGCTACTACAGAACAGCTTTATACAGATACAAGTTCAGAGTAAACAGTCTTACTACATTTCTTTATATTTCCAACTACGATGACGGCTGACCTGATATTTGGGAGCCGATATCCATTCCAGCAAATTTTGAAGTGTTGGCGACGATATCTGATACCAGTATCGTATTGATGCATCCCTTCTTTTTACCTACAATATTCCCCTTAGTTCAATGTTAAAATGGTTCTCCCCTGTTATTTGTAAGTATAAGTAGATCCTTATCCATGCCTAAACCTCTCACAGACTTTTGTTTTATGTGGTCACACCCTTTAAACAGCTTGTCATGCTAGCTTTTTGCTTTTGTCCTGGCTGTGCACATTCCCTTTACTCAAGATATCAATGTCAGTCCAAGACCTAAAATACCTTACTTATTTGTGTATACCACCAGCACCAACCAAAACTCCTCCAGGCCAGAATGTTACAAGCATACATCTGAAACTCTGAAGAATAATGAACAGAAAATGTTAATCACGGTTTGGAGGCATCTTTGAGCTTCAGATAACTTTGGTCTCAGAGGAACAGAGCCGTATGTAGTTGGAATAATAATGTGTTCTTTGATATGACTGGCCCTGGCTGTGTTCTGCAGAGCGATCAGTCTGTTTGTAATCAGAAGACTCTGGGGGAGAGATGTTTACTCTGTATGATCAGTGTGGAGAAGCAAAGGTTACATCAGGTGGGAGGTTTAAAGGTGGTTTAATGGGCATATTACGCAGTTTTCTGATCTCTGTCTCAATGTTGTGTGCTCATCACAAACATACCCAGAGTTGTGTTTTGTTTCATTCACACATGTTTAACACAAAAACCCTGCGAGTTCTTCTCTTAAAACGGATAACACTCTGTTCTACTTTGTGATATCATGTCATGTGCTTCACTGTGGTTTTAAACTCCATACACCTTCAGTAGAATCATTTGGATAGTTTCAGCTGTGGAATTAAAAATGTAAAATGAGCTGTTAACTTGAAAACTACAGCTTCATGACATCACAAGGTGAAAGAGGGCATTTTGAGCTTTGGAGATGTAGACTGATTAGTTATAAAGGATTATTCAAACATGTGTGAATGAAACAAAACACAACTCCAGATATGTCTTTGAGAAGGTAACGGCATTATTAATATGGCTAAAAGAGAGAGCCTACTCGGACACTGGCAGAATGTTAAAACTCCATGTACGACCAGTCAAAGCTTTTGGACACTGTTTTTTTTTTTTTTTTTTTTTTTATCTATCTTTATTTTCATGAATATTTTGATTATATATTCACACCAAAGACTGCAAAACTATGAATGTCCACATATGGAACGTAGTAAACAAAAATCACCTCAAAATAATTCTAACTTGTTTCAGACTTTAAATGTAGAAAAATAGACACCCTTAGCTTTGATCGCCTCTTTTGACAATTGGAGTTCCTTGACCCTGACATGGCACACATTGAATTGAAAACCATTTAAGGAGACTTTATTGTGAAGCTCATTGAGAGGACGCCTAGGCATTGTAATATTTTCAAAAAGTATATTAAAGGGACAGTCTGGAATTTTGGACATAGGACCTAATTTCCTAGGTATCCAGAGTATTGGAGATGTGTGGAGACATTTTTAAAAATAGTCCATCTAGTCCTTGTATTTCCAGAGGTTGTTGGTGCAAGGCTAGCACATGTCAATGGCCATAGTTAGCCTGCCACTAAAAACAGTCTTACCCACTCCACAAAACACCTGAAGCAAATCTATTATTATGTCTGTGTTGATAGAAGAATGTTTGAAATAAAATTGAGGGACTATTTTCTCAGCAGCAGCGGAATTTTACTTTGCCGGTAAGTTAGGTGCTAGTTGA